TTACATGTAGCTCTTTAACACCACAACTTATTAATTCATTCTTTTATTGATAGGCATTTGGATAGTTTCTAGCTCAGAGTGATTAAAATAATGCTACTGTGGACATCCTTGTCCATGTGTTTTGGTAGACTATACATTTCTTGAGCATATACTGAGGAGTGGATATTTTCTTTTTTCAAATTAAGATTTATATGTATTTGTGTGTGTGTGTCTATGTGTCTATGTGTGCGTGTTTGTGTGTGTGTGTGTGTGTGTGTGTATGTGTGTGCACGCATGTGGGGGAGGATGGGCATGTAGGCTTCTCTGTAAGCACATTGGGGCTGGAAGAGGGAGCCACATGTCCTCCTCTACCTTTCTCTTGTTCCTTTGAGGCAGGGTCAATAATTTATTTGAACCTGGGTCCCCAGTTTTCTTGGCTAGGCTGGAAGCTATGGAGCCCCAGCAAACCACATTTCCCTTCAAAGCTGGGGTTAAAGTGGGTGGGACATCTGTCTTATTACTTGGGTGCCGAAATCTGAACTCCAACCTCAAGATTGCGCAGCAGGTTCTCTTAATCACTGAGCCATCTTTCCACCCCATTGCACCCCACCCCCTGTGTGAATATTTTTCTACCGTGAAGTGACTGTTCTAGTCTCTTGGCCATTTCTCCATTTTCTTGTATGTTTTTTCATATATTTATAGTATTTCTTTAAATAAGCAGTTAAGTATTCTGCTGATTTTATACACTTTCCCCCGAAACAAATTCTCTTTTTCCTCTCAATGGTGTCTTTTGATGAACAGAAGCTTTTAATTTCATTGTGGTAATTGGTTACTCTTTTCCTGTGGTTAGTGTTTTCTGTGTCATGTTTAAGGATTCTTCTACTTCCCTGAAGATACTCTCCTGTGGTAACTTTCCAAATGGTTTATTGTTTTGTAGTTCATGGTGAGGCCGGTGTCAGCCTGTATTTAGTTTTGGTGTATAGCATAAAGCAAGGGTTCATTGGCTGTCCAGTTGACTGAGCACTACTTACTGACATGGGTTTTTTTTTTATTTGTTTTTATTAAATTTTTTTGTATTTCATACAGAATACCTCAAAGAATCTGAATCATCATTATAGCCCCATCCCCACCAGCATCCTCCCATAGCCCCCCACTGGAGCCCATATACTCTGTCCTGGGTGTTAAGGCCCACTGTGTCATCAGTGTCTCCAGACATTCCCCGGTGCAAGTCCATCCACTTGCAGTTTAGTCAGATCCCTCTCATCTATCTACCCTTACACACTAGCGTTCACCATCCCCCTCTCATAGTCGAATGTCCCCCTATCTGTAGATGTGTTTCTAGAACTTCTGTTCCACTGTTTTTTTTTTTTTGTTTTTTTGTTTGTTTGTTTGTTTTTGTTTTATTTTGTACTGAGGATGGAACCCATGGCCTTGTGTGTGCTTGGCAAGTTTTCTACCATTGGGTTGCATCCCCAGCCTTCTCTATTGATCTCTTTTTCTGCCTGTTTGTTGTAGTTATTGTAGTGTTATAATAAGTCTTGATGTCTGGTAGTCTAACTGTTCTTCAGCGTTTGGTTGTTCTGGGCCTTTCCCTTTATGTATTCATATAAACTTTACAATCAACTGGTCAATTTTGAAGTACACACAGAGCTGTTAGGATTTTTAATAGAACCAAATTCACACTTTGGATCAAGTGTAGAAAAGTACTATCTTTATAACATTGATTTTTCAACCTATGAACATGGTTTAGCATTCCATTTATTTTTGCCTTCTTTATTTTCTCATGATAGTATTTTAGTTTTCTAATTAGATGTCCTTGCATATTTAATATGTATTTAATGAATTTGATGTGATTACAAATACTATCATTGAATTTTTGCCTTTTAATTGTTTATTGCTCCTTATATAATACAATAAATTTTCATAACTTCAGCTTTCAGTCAGTGATTGTGCAAAGTACACTTATTAATTCTAATCATTAATTTGTACTGTTTTCAGGACTTTCCAATGATAACATTGGGTTATTTGTAAATAATGGCAGTTTGTGTCTTCATTCCTGACTGTGGCTTTCCCTTCTTCCTTCTCTTCCTGGTACCTTGTTGAGTTAGAGAGGAACGAAGGACCTTTAGTACAGGGACAGAAGGGATGACAGAAGACATCTTCCTTTACACCTGACCTAAAGGAAATATTTTTAATATTTCACACTAGTATGAAAGGCACCATTACTATTTTTTAATTGTCTTTTTTTTTCTCTTTTTAGACAAGGACCTGCAGTGTATCTAGACTTGGCTTAAGCTAGCAATCTTGCTGTCTCTGCCTCCTGAGTGCTGGGATCCCAGGCATGCACCACAATACCTAGCTGCTATTAGGTTTTTATGGTATTTTTCTTTTTCAAATTAGAGAAGTTCTCTATATTCCTAATTTCTTTAAAACATGAATGAATGCTGAATCTTATTCAAATGGTTTTCTATGTTTTTTCTATTATTCTTTTGTGGAGTTTTTTTGGATAGGGTTTTGTATAGCCTAGGCTGGACTCAAACTTGCTGTGCAGCCAAGGGTGGCCTTAAACTCCTGATCCTTCTGCCTCCACTTCCGAAGTGCTGGGATGACAGGCCTGTGTCACCACACTCTGCTTATGCATTTGTTGAAATTATTTTTTCTCCTTTATTCTGTAAATGCTGTAAATTCTACAAAGAGAATAGAGATATGTATGTTTAAAAAAAAAAAAACTTACATTCCTGGAACGAACCTATCTTATTCCTGGAATAAATCCATTTTTATTATGATATTTTTATGTGTTTCTGGACTTGGTTTTATAATATTTCTGCTTAGCAATTTTGTATCTATGTATAAAATTGTCAGGTTTAGATATCAAAGTTATACTCACTCTGTAAAACTAATTGGGATCTCCTTCCCCAATCCCTTCCTTCCCTTTCTTCCTCCTATTCTCCAAAAGAGATCTTTAGAATTTTTTTTGATTTATTTATTTTTATTTTATGTATATCAGTGATTTGCCTACATGGATGAAAACGCACCCATATTGTGCAATGCCCAAGGAGGACAGAAGAGGGCATTGATACCCTGGGACTAGAGTTGCAGATGATTATTAGGTGCCATGTTGGTGTTGGGAACAGAACTTTGGTTCTCTACAAGAGCAGCCAGTGCTTTTAACTGCTGAGCCAACTCTCCAGCCCCTAGAAGAGACTTTTAAATCAAACCATGAGTTTTGGTCCCCACCCACCTGCCTCACCCTGCCTTGTTCTTTGCTTATTTGCTCATGTTCAAACCATGGAGACTTTCATCAGTGTTGTCAGTTCTGTCATCAAATATACACTCACCCTTCCAGTGTCCTATTGACAGTAAGCCAGAATTACTAGAGTCCCTGCAATAGACCTGTTACTGTCCCCTGATTTCTGCTGTTCTTCCTCCCCACGATCTATTCCACACATAAGAAGGTGTTGGGGGACCCTGCCGTGAAGGTCGCAGTCCACCATGTCCCGACAGCTCTCCGAGCTCGGCTCAGAATGCAGGATTCCCTTTCTTCCTTACTCTCTGCCTGACTTTATTTGGAAAGTGTCTCCAAGCACAGATGCCTGACCTTATTTGGAACATGATCTTTGACATAGTTCCCTGCAAACGCTGCCCCTGGTTTTCCCGTATGATAATTAGGCATTGCACTATAGCCAGTCAATCCCACCTCCCCTTTCTACATGACAGGGTCCTCCTGCCACATTCAAATAACACATACTATGAACACCTATCAGGTAAAGCTTTGGCTGCCATCCTCACCCTATATCTTCCCTCCAGCCCCTCTGAATAAACGAGCTGTCTCACTGAAGCTGACTCCCTGAAGGTCTTTCCGTCGTACTCACAGCCATCCTAACCCTGTTCGTCACCTCTGCTCCCTTTGTTCTCACGGATCGGTGGCCAAAGACCCTTTGTTCTCACGGATCGGTGGCCAAAGACCCATGAGGGAAGAGAGACCCGCAAGAAGGTGGGCATTTGAACACATAGGATTTTGAATGTTTTTGACATGAGAAGAAATTAGTCAGTTCTAGCTTGCTTAATAGCAAAAGATTCACTTCTCTCTTATTCAAAGTCTACCATTGAGAGTGTGACTCATAAGGACAACTGCTTGTCACAGTGCAGCTCGGTGATTCAAAGGACTT